TAACATTGTATTATTTATTTTGAAGATGGTGTAACTTCTAAATTCTGTAGCAACATTTATTCTGGTGTGTGCATTCTTCTGAACAAAAGTATTTAAACTTAATTGAAATAACTTGTTTGGTATAAATTAAGTAAGGCAAATTTTTAAATTACTATAACTAAAATATTTGCATGTCTAACATTTAAATGGTAATATTTCTATTTTTTTCCCCTCTTCATGCAATAGAAAGTGTAAGAAGAAAAAATATTGTAATCTGTTGAACTTAAGTTTTATTTTGAACATATTCTGAATAAATTAATTTTTCTTAGGGTGAACTGTTACCTAGCAGTTGGTCCACAAACGCCATTTGGAGGATTCAAAATGTCTGGTCAAGGTCGTGAGTTGTAAGTCTGTCTATGCTACATATTTACTGCTTGAATCTTAAAATGTATATTTCCACCACATAGTGCTGTATATTGATAAACTTTAGTTTTACATTATATATTGACAAATGTTTTTGTAGTGATCATACAAAATGTCCTCCTTAATTATCTGTTTTCAGTGCAAACAAATATCTTAATGAACAGTGCAAACTATTTTGTTTTTAATGTTTTTGAATTAAGCAGTACTTAATGCTAAATTTATACATTACAGTGGAGAAGATGCTCTTCATGAATATACGGAAATTAAAACTGTAAGTAGTGTATATTTAGTAATGTTTGATAACCATATTTATATTAAATGTTTTAAATCAATGTAGAGGGTATTAAAGAATGGGAAAACAAAATTATCAATCACTATTGTGGCCCTTCAGACTTGCTGAGATATGACTGATATTAATGGCTTGTACACGAAGTATATTGGCAAATTGCTTGAGTGTTATCAGCTGTGACCTTGAGCAAACATCTGGTATTCATACATAGATTGATGCTATTTGGACAGTCAGGAGGAAGGGGCCTATGGTCGGGCCACAACTATAAGGCGACTCTAAATTCTACAGCTTAATTATTAATCAAAGAAACATCGTTTATAATTGGCCAATATGGTACATTGTTTTAAAGTGCACACACTTTAACTTACTCCAAGTCTACCTTTACTCAAAATTTTTTTTGAAAATAATCTTGTATTAGATACTTAAATAATTCTGATTTTAGTTGTATGGATTTTTAAAATAAGTGCTAATAGATTTTTCTTAAACTTTGTCTTAAATAGTTTTCCTAAGGTATCCAGTATCTGAGAATATTGTTTGGTATTGATATTGCTATTTTTTCCATTTTAAATTCCAGGTTACAATGCACATTCCACAAAAGAACTCCTAGGTGTCTATCTTCAGTTTCACATACTTGAATTTTTGGATAATGTATTGCACAGTTTTTCAGCGATACCAAATGTATTTTCAGTATGGTTGCATCTTTAATATAGTGGGGCTTTGTTGGTCATTAATAAAATTTGGAACTTGTTGAAATCATAACTTGTCTCTTTTTTTATTTATTTATTTTTTCATTGCAATAAATTCTAGAATTTGTTTCTGTGCAAAAAGATACTTTAAAAGTTTTTTATCTTTCTTTCTTTTTCAGTTACAAAAAATCGTATTGTACCATTTGGGGGGTGGGGCACAGACAGAGAGAGATCAAATATACACGTACAAAATTAAATCTGAAATTAAAGAATGGAGGGATAAAGAAACTAGGCGGGAGTAGCAAGCAATGGGCACAAAGGAAGACTGGAGAGGACATTCCAAAATTGACTTTGCATATAATACATAACTAGGTTTGGTGGATAAACAATGAAAGAAAACCGAATGATGTTAGATATCATCTTTAAAGGTGCACGTGATATGATTTGTGATAAAGAACGAACTTCAAAGAAGAAACATTAGCTTTCACACTATGCTTGAACATAGCAGTGGGTCATTAGCATTGTCAATAGTGATACTTGTATTCAAAAAGTTACCTCGTGTTCATTTGTAGAACCACATGGTTCAAAATATATAAAGACTTCTGTCTGCCAAATCTCTAACCAGTCTAGTGAAGTCACAAAATTTGCTAATAACTGTACAAATAATGTACAATAATGTACAAAACTGGTCTAGGAAGTTTGTTCTACATCAGCTAAAACATCAAATTTTAAAACAATCTTTCATTTCGTATATAATTTTAAAAAAGAATAAACGACCTACCGTATTCTTAAAGTTCGATCCAATAACATTTTTAAAGTGTTGAAGGCCGTAACTAGATTCTAAATTTAGATAAGACTAACTCTGAGGTCCGCAGCGAATCAGGGTAGAGACCTTTTTTTTTGTTGTTGTTGTTGTTTGCGAGTTATGGGGGGCGCCATCAACAGATGATATGCTCCCAAATTCCCTGACCTGATTTAGTTGAAATATATACTGCCATTTAACAAGAAGTTAATAGTTACATATACTTTTTTTATTATTTATATATATATATATATATATATTATTTATTTATTTATTTATTTTTTGTTTTTTATTATTTATTTTTTTGTGTTAGTTAATTGTTTGACACTAAAATTCCTAAAATGTCACGTTACTGGGATAAAACACAAGGAAAAGTTTACACCGTTAGTTCTTCTCGACTGGGGGCGACTCCAGCCATTGGAAACAAGGATAAAGGAAGTAGCCCTATTAGTAAATAGAAAGGACATTAAATTTTTATGTT